CTTCAAACACAGATGTCTTGTAATAGTAACATAAGTAACTTTTCTATACTTGCCTTGTTTCAGTCCTTTTGCTTGACTATTCTCTCTCCCTTGGAACCAGAGTGTGTTTTGTGGCTATAGAAATATATACACAATCCGAATTTGAGAGTAAAACAATGTTGTAAACTGTCATTATTACATAGTAATATTTTATCTTCTACTGCCAACGCAATTACCAAACTGCAAATTGCAGCAGTGATCACGGTTCTGGATTATATTCTGGGCTTTAAATGACCCCAGCAACTTCTCATGCAATTACTCCTCAAGGCAGTAACACACATGTTATATTTGTTTCTCAAATCTCCTTTTCTTGCCTTAATATTCTTTTTGCTCTCTCCTAACCTCAAATATTGTAAAGAGCCAATTTTTTTCTGTTGAATGCTACATAATGTTGTTACCCTTGCTGCATCTTTGTAAGTAGTCTTGGGGGCACATTTAGCCTGGGATAGCTTAGGACTTAGCCTCCTTTTCTCAAGACTCGTATCCATAGACACACATGCTGTGGATATTACTTTAATGATTTTGTTAAAATAGGATTCCCCCAGGTTTTTCGAAAGTAAAGTTATGATTTTTCTCCCTTACAATAAGTAATTGATTTTTCTGGAGGTATTCTGAGAATACAGAAACATCTTATATCTAATCCAATGTTCACCAACTAATTTTAGAAATCTTTGTGGATTTCCTATTACTTCTGTGTTTATTGGTGATACCCACCTGTAAGGAAGAGATTTCTTTCATATTCACATATTATCATTCACTTTTATCAATATGAAATCTTGGATTTCTGCTCTATTTTTAGATCACATTTTATTTTTAACATTTCTTTTAACAATCAAGTTTTCCTATATTCAACCCATGTAAGATCATACAAGTCACATTGTGCTTTTAATGACAAAGTCTACTCCTTCAGTTAAGGCTTCATTATTGATTTCGAGTAATCTTCAGTCTCCTCTCTAATCTGATAGTTGTAACCCCACTAACATTGATATTGACATTGTTTTTACTGTAACTTGAAAGAAACTTTAAAAAGCTTAATTGTTAACCCATACTGTGGATCTTCCCAAAAGCAGAAACTTGTGGTGTTGAGTCCTATCATAGATGCACATTATGAAAATAACTTCAAATCTGAAATATACCCATAGAATTGAAGTGATATTAAGAAATGGCCTGAGATTTTTCCATTGCTTTGTAAATTTATTCTTAACTATTTTATGTTTGATGTTATGGTACATCATATTGATTTGTGTTCCATTTTCAAATTTTCTGCTTCTGGTACACATAAATAAAATTGATTTTTATATTGACCTTCTGTCCTGTGACCTGCTAAATTTACTTATTTGTTCTAAGCAATTGTCTTGTAGATTTCTTCAGATTTTTTAAGTAGACAATCACGTTCTTTGAAAATTCAATGTGTACTTCTTCCTTTGGCAGTGCTTGTAATTTCTATTTTGTTTTCTTTGCTTATACTCTAGAGCTTCCAGGATTATATAAAAGTTTGTGTTACAATATTAAATGGCTTTGTTTTGCCCCTGATCATAGTGAGGGAGGGAAAGCACATTTAAGTTAGTACTTTTGGTTTTAAATCCACTCCCCGAAATAATTAAAAATAATTATTTGAATCACAGATTTTCTTGGTTGGAAAACTAAATAATTTACTATGTGCTTATTCCTTATAATTCCTTGGGTTCTGGCAATTCATGGGCTTCTTCAGGAAGATGTTTTTCTAAGGAAAACTCAATGATGATTGTTAAAATTTTCATTCCAAAGTCAATTGTTTAATGTTTTACTTCAGTTGTCAGTTGGCATCTATGTCTCTAGCATCCAGCAGCATGAAGTTATAGTCCTTGGATCTCTGTTATTAAGTGTTTCGTAATTCTTTATATAGCTTCCACTGCAAATCACTGGGAAGACTTAAATTCATTTAAACTCAGCCTGGTCCCCAGCTCACTATGCAGCACAAGTTGGCTTTGATGTCACTTTTCATAACTGGCTCATTTTGAATACATGAGGATCCTCCTTTTTCAGCCTCCCAAGTGCTGGGATAACAGATATGTGCCCACCGTGTTAACTTAGAACAGTCTTCTTGTATTTATAAAATGGCCAAGTCCTATTTAACAAAGTCAGCCAACCTTTGTGAGTTAGCCTTAGAAGATATGGTGCTCTGAATGAGAATAGACCCCAGAGGCTCAAATATTAAGAATGCTTTGTTTGAATGTATTGGAATTATTAGGTTTAGGAAAGATTGAGATGGGTGGTCCTTTTGGACTAGATGTGTAACTGGAGCAAGCTTTGAAGATTCAAACCCCCACAACATTCTCACTTAGCTCTTTCTTCCTTGGGCTTATAGATGAGATGTCAACTGCTTCAGTACCTTGTCTCCAAGACATGATAATTATGGAATCATCCTCTCAAACTGTAAGTAAGCCTCCAATCAAATGATTTATTTTATAAGTCACCTTGGCCATGGTATCTGGTAAAGACAATAGAAAAGTAAATAAGAACAAAGTCAAGCAGAATGCCTTCTATTCTAATCTGTTGGCCAACGTAGTAATATTCTTAGTGGATGGGAGAAAGGAGAAGTAGATTAGATCTCTCCATAAGACAAATTCCATTCAAGCTGCATGTGTGTGAAACTTTTGATATGTAAAGTACTTAAAAAACAAAATTCTTGAAAGAATAAAGTGGAGATTTTTTTTTTACTTTCATCAACAGAAACACTTTTCTTCTGTTCTTACTTTTTACTCTGTTCACTAAAATTTTATTCTAGTTTTATTTTCTAAATTTCATGTATGTGTAATATATTTTCATAATTTTTTCCACTTCTTCCTTCAAAAAGCTTCCATGACTGCTTCCACTCTATCTCAAATTCATGATTCCTTTTAGTGTTGCTTGAATGTATATACTTGTAGGGTTGACCATTTGGTACTGTGTAACCAACTAGCATGCTCATCTATGAGAAAAACTGATGTTTCTTTTCTTAGCATCCCCATTCCCTATAGCTCTTCATCTAAGGGGAGTCTACTTACAATAGCAATGAATGGTAAACAACTTTAACATCCTACAGTTGAGGGTTGGATAATGACAGTATTGTATGTATAATCAGTATAATATGACTTGACTGCATAGAAAAATGGAATTTGAAGGTAATAGAACAGAACTAGAATTTGTCATTTTTTAATTCTCAATAGCCTATCCTTTTCATATATTAGTGTATATAAATTGCTCATATTTAAAAAAATTATCTAAGTTATAAAATATATCAATATTCATCTCATTTTGGAATCATTTAGTATTTTGTCTACTTATGAAGAATTTAAAAAGCTTTGCTGGCTTTTCTCATTTCACAGTATCTTCTCTCCACAAAAACGTTTGAGGAAATCATTATGAAACCAGATGTCTCTGCAATGGAAATATTCCTACTTGCAGTGATCAGATAGGGTTGATTATATGCTGCCTGTTTCTCCATACATGTATTTATGCTGAGATCTCCATCATGAGCTCCAAATTTAGCATTCTATTGTCTTCTTTTGGTACACACAATGGTTCAGCATGCTTAAAATTCTGAATACCTCCCAGCCCATCATCTTTCTGTCTTTGCCCTAGATGCTTACAATAAAAACCTACCCATGTCGGTGGTTTTCTTCACTTTCTAATTCAATAGTCCTTTTATAATTCAATTAATTATATATCCAAATATGTCCTAAAGTTGGAGGTTTTTCCATCTCTACCACTATGTCCTCATCTAATCACAATATAAATATTTTATTGACTTTCACTAAAGTTTTAAACATTTTTTCCTTGAGTATGTTACAGAAATCTTTATTGTAATTTACTCAATCATTGTTGAATTACCTATATACACATTAACTATATTATAGCAATAATATTTTATAACTTTTACTTTTCATAATGAAATAAAGCTCAGGTCCTTAATAATTCCCCAAAGATGTTGTCACCCCAACCTATATTATTGTCTCACATATTTTTTACATACACATTCACACACACACATACTCAGACATAAATATAATATATTAATAGATTTCTTATTATAAATATAGTTTATGGTTTTGGAAAGAGTCTCAGAAATGAAAAACAGTAGAATTTAGATGAAAATTATGTACAATTTTATGATTTAAGGATTGACGGTGTAACAAATGGCCTCTTTTTCCAATAATTTGTATGTTCTTAATAAAAACTTTAGTAAACTATTTACAGATTTTTTTTTATACTTTAGGTACACAATCTTGCATTGAAACTGTGTTTTATATTCTGTCATAAAAAGTGTGACATTTGTCTCTGTATCATGGTGTGCCACTGCTACCACATCGTTTAGAAGTCTGTGATAAGGGAATTCTGAGTTTGAGGCTAACATGGACTACATGGTGGGACTCTATCTCAAAAAGTGAATTGGTTTATGGGTTGCAGCATACATCACAAGTTCTAAAGAAGCTTGTGTTATCATTCACTTATATAGATACATATAATAGGGATGGTAAAAACTTAACTGAAATTACCAGTTTACTCTGAATCTAGGATTTTAAAATTATCATGTGTACATATATTTATGGATGCATGTTGAGTCATTTTACAACAAAACTCAAGTTTCTATTGAAATGAAGGAAAAGCAAGACTAATGTCTTACATTACTCTTTGCTGACTTTCCAATGCCTTAAAATGCTGACATGGCTGTCTTTCAGTGTGGACTGAGAAACAGGCCTCTGCATACTGTTTTCCTGAAACCAGCTACGTGCTATCATTTAGATGTAAATTTGCCAGAAAATGAACATTTAGCAATGAACCTCATTCTCTTATGGTTCCCATTCCTTATCAAAAAGATTTACCACATGTTAAAATTTTCAACAGAAATTTCTCTCTTCTAGTCAAGTGCTATTTCAAACCCTTTCATTCTCTGAAGTTTTATTTGATTTGCACATTACAAAATTGTGATGCGGAGGGACTCAGACCCCATGGCGACTCCAGAGGCCAGCGGCAGCGGCGGGAATGACGAGAGCTGCGACCCCTCCGTCACCTACTACCAGCTGGAAGAGGTGGTGAAGCGAAACTCCGCGGAGGAGACGTGGATGGTGATCCACGGGCGAGTCTACGATATCACCCGCTTCCTCAGCGAGCACCCTGGTGGGGAAGAGGTTCTGCTGGAACAAGCTGGTGCTGAAGCAACAGAAAGCTTTGAAGATGTTGGCCACTCCCCTGATGCCAAGGAGATGCTAAAGCAGTACTACATTGGTGATGTCCATCCGAGTGACCTTAAACCTAAAAGTGGTAAAAAGGATCCTTCACAAAGCAGTACATGCAAAAGTTGCTGGGCATATTGGATTCTCCCTGTGGTGGGCGCCATTCTTGTAGGGTTCCTGTATCGTCACTTCACGACCGACAGCAAATCCTCCTGAGGTGACCATATTGGAGTGTGGGAGCGCATGCTTCTGGAGCGAGAGGTAGACACTTACTGTGGAGGCTGCAACGATGCTCCCTCCTTAAATCCGCCAGCTGTTTTCCTCCCCACTTGGAGTCAAGATGGTTGACCAGATATCTATCCTCCTCAATCTAGGATCAGGGTCCTTCACCAGCCAGAGCCTGATGCCCAAAGCACCTACTCACATTGTGTCCTTGCTAGGGTTTCTTCTCACTGGCTTCTACTTGTTTCCTTCATTCCAAGAGTTTATGCCTATGATTAGAGTTCCGATGTTGTAGTGACATGGCCTTTGGGGACAATATATGATTTCCCATACTTTGACTTCGCATTAGATATATTTAAGAGAACAGCACTCTAATTTTGAATCTTTTCCCATTTTTCTTTTAAGTAAGTTTATTTTTAAATTCTGATTAACTTTGTCTTTATCATAAGGAGTTTAATTCATGAAGATATGTCTCTCTTATTTGAAACACAGCTACCAAATGATCTTATTTATGATTTTTAAAAGTAAGGGACCGAAAGATAAGTCATTGGATAAAAGCAATTGCCACAAAGCCTGATGACCTGAGTTTGATTTCCTGGACCCACACGGGTAGAAGGAGAGAAGCAATTACCAAAAGCTGTCCTCTGACCTCCACAGACATGCTGTAGCCCTAGTGTACACACACACACACCTGTTTATACACACAGGTGCACACATTCAGACAGAACACACATAGGCACAAGTGTACACTAAACAAATGTAATTTTAAAAAAGAATACAAAAAATAAAAATTTAAAAAAAAACAAAACAAAATTGTGATGCAACAGTTAGATACATTTCCAGCTAGATAATAAGAGAATTGTACCTTCCTACGTCAACCTATATTGGATAGGAACCCAAATTCTTACATGTAAGCTTTTAAAGTTTTCAAATTCAAATATAAAAACATTTGAAATAAAAAGACAGGCACATCTTATGTGTTTTATGCAGGATGACCCAGAAAAGTTTATCTTCCTAAATCTCCATTGCGCTAAATATCAGATAATACATTAGTTTTATGTTTCTCAGAATGTTCTGTCAGTTACATAATTTGTTTTTTATTTTATTTTTTTATTGATATTTATTGAGCTCTACATTTTTCTCTGCTCTTCTCCTTGCCTCTCCCTTCCCCTCTTCAATCCTCCCCCAAGGTCTATATGCTCCCAATTTACTCAGGAAATCTTGTCCTTTTCTACTTTCTACTTCCTATGTAGATTAGATCTACATAAGTCTTCCTTAGTGCCGTATTGTTGTCTAAATTCTTTGGGATTGTGGTTTGTAGGCTGGCTTTCTTTGCTTTATGTTTAAAAACCACCTATGAGTGGGTACATGTGATAATTGTCTTTCTGTGTCAGGGTTACCTCACTCAAAATAATGTTTTCTCTAATAATTTATTCATCAATATATCAATATTAGCTTAGTTATACAATACTCGACAAAATAATGAAGTGAGTGAGGGATCTTAGGATCAACAGGTCATAAACTTGACATTTCAGCCAAAACAGATGCTGCATGGCTACTTCAAGAGAGTAGACACTCAGAGAACCCTGTGCATAGTCAATGAAGAATACAAAGAATTTATTGAGATTGAAACAAAGAGAAATCATCATTATAGACAATGAGTCTCTGTTATGTTATTAAGTATTAGTTCTTTAAGGAGGGGTTGCCAACTCACCTTTATCATACCTACAGCTGCTACCTGTGACTACAGCATGATGCTCACAGCTCCCATGAAGCAAGCCTCAGGTACTTCAGGAAGGAGGCTAACACATTTTGGCACCTCCATGTCATGCATGATGAACATGCCCTCTTCTTGTGAATTCTTAGGAGAGCCTGACACACAAGATTTCATAAATTATACAATACAAATATCCAATGGATTGGATATTGTCTAGAATGACAGGACTTTTTTCCTCTTCTCATTTTGAACAGAATCTAGCTTGGGCTCTGCCGGTACTCATAGCTTTGAACATTTAAGTTTGGCCCTAAAATAGAACTTTTTTTATGATTAGATTTTTACATCTTGTATGAGGCAGTACAGACTGGATATATACATCATTGGCTTTAAATCCTACATGGGAATCCAGTGAAAACCAATAATAACAATTATTGACTGAATCAAAAACTCTCTGAGTGACTGGTTGACGGACATGTTCCGTCTCGAAATAGAAATTAAGCAAAATATGAGAGAATTCTTTTGCCTCAAGCAGGCAAAATTAAATTACACTGGGGTCCCTTTGAGCATGCAAGCTATAGAGAAATATAATTTTAGTGGCTTATGAGAAGCCCTGACTGTCTGGGTAATACAATCCCTTCCTCTTACATAGAACATATTCTGCAGTCAGTTGCTTAACTACTAATCTACCTATTGTTCTATGTGTTGCCTCATTCCTAATAATATGTGGATAACCAGGTGAAATACTATTCAAAAATTACTTTAAAATGACAAAATCAAATGAAACAATAAGCTAGGTTTTGGTCCTGTGTCAATGGAATTCCTCTCAAATTTTCAACATGTTCAATATTTTGTTTAGTCTAATTACTGAAACAATTAAACATTGGTAATTTACAATATGAAAAGTTGAAATAATTAAAGTCAGAGGTACACAGAAAAGCCTTTTGACGATCATTAATTTAAAAAAGTGCACACGGAGCCATGAGGTTTCTGCTTTCCTAGTTTCTTCTGACATACTACTGAAAAGTGATGTAACCATGTACTGCTCTCCTCCGTGTTACAGAGCCCCTGGGCCCTCGATCACATATGGGACATCCTTGGGGGATGGAGGTGGGTATTGAGAAGAGGGTACACCAAGAAACTCAGTAGAGACAGTTCTGTTGTTGCTCCTTCCGCCAGCCAAGATTGCAGATGTGCACCATCATGCCCAGCTGGAATTTTCACCTGGTATCAACAGCATCCTTCCCTGGAATAGCTCTAGCACATGCAAGCCACACAAAGTAATAAGGAAATTCATGACAATGCTGCCAGTGTGTGCTAATTAACTGTTGATTATATGTAATGAGGGACACTCAAAAGGCAGGAGTGAATGAAACCATGTGAACATTAACAGTGGCCATCTGGGTGTCTAGCAGAAACTCCTGACTAATGACAAGTGTCTTGCTAAGTCACTGTCATCTCATGTGAATGTAACATAATAACCAAATATGGACCAGAATGAGGGAGATCAGAGAAAGACCTCAAAGAAGGAGATAAAATTACCTTCAGGAAGAGCCTGTCTAGAGAGTAGATGCAGAATGGAAAGGGTTTCAGGAAGGACCCTATACAACACACACTGCTAAACTATCTGGCTGTATGCTGATTCCACTTGTGTGTTTGACTACTGTTTTAAAACAAGAATTGGATAATCTCTCTGACCAATTCTCTGTATGGCAGCCTGAAGCCAAAATGTTTTATTCATGAATAATGTCTTTTTTTAATAAACTATAAAATGTAAAATAATAAAAGTGATATATACCTAATAATGAGTGGGCCAGTAAACCCACCAGGCAGCTTTGCTCTGCAAGTAGAAAAAAGCTGACTTTGTTTAACAAATCTCAGAATTATTAGTCCTGTTTGAAACCCTTTTTATGTCACATCATTTACTTTAATTCTTACTGGTCTGACCATTATCATACATTATGCATTTTCTTTGTGATTGTTGAGAGGGGATTGGTAAGTAAGTGTCCTCTTGAACATATAAAACCTCAGAGCAACCTGAAGTGATGCCCTTACCAGATGGCATTGGAAATGTTGAGGGGCACTGCTGGCAATAGACAGCCTGTAGCTTCTTGATTGACAGCAACCTCCAAGAATTTCTGGAAGGATGTTTCTCCTCCAGGCAAACTAGGAGAGAAGGATTAAAACCAAACATGTGATTGTCTCTGCTGGTTTCTAGACTATATATATCCATGTTCATCAAAGGAAATTCTTTTATAATTAAATAAATAGGAAAAATCTCATATTTGTGAGATTTAAAGTTATCCCAAGAAAGTGAAAGACTAAGTCATTTCTAAATCCTACACTGAAATGCTAACTCTCCTTTTAAAGGATTGTCCAGGTTCTCAAGAGGAAACATGTTAGTAGCTTACATTATGGATTCTATTTAAGGGGCATCTAGCAGCTTCACTAAAATGAAACTCCCTAAACGTGCGCTGAGGAATGCTAACAGTGAAAACTTGAGAGAGGCCCCCTTCCTCTTTGGGAAGAATCCTCAGCCTGGATCTCGCTGATGCTGAGGGTTTAGGTTTGTCAAAAATGTCCTGTGAGGTTCATTCCTGCACTAGCAATCGTCTTGCAAAAGAGAAAAATGGGAATGATACTTATATTAAAAAGTGAAGCCAAGGACAATAGCACTGGGTTTTGATTCTACTGCATGGACTGACTTTGTGGGACCCTGGTTTGTTTGGATGTTCACCTTTATAGACCTGGATGGAGTGGGGAGGACCTTGGACTTCCCTCAGGGCAGGGAACCCTGACTGCTCTTAGGACTAGAGAGAGAGAGGGAGGGAGGGAGGGGGAGGGAAAAGGAAGGCGGGGAGGAAGTGGAAATTTTTAATAAATAAAAAGAAAAAAAAAAGAAAGTGAAGATATAGCTAAGTTCTTGGCTCACAGTGTTAAGACCTTGGAGTATGGGACTGACATGCAAATTATTGTGAGAAGTTTCCCCCTACCACATAGTAAGCCCAGGGTGTCATAGTTGTGGTACCTCTAAGCACAAGAAAACCAGTCCAGTTAATAGAGAACTGGGTGAATAAGGTCCCCATTGGTGGTGTTTCATACCAGCAGGAATACATCATTCACCCAGATATTAAGAGGGATGGCATGATGACCAAGCTGTCTGAGTAGGTCTGGAGCAGTGCTGTGTTCTCTTACAAAGGTGTTTTATTATTCCCACAATACAATATCCCAAGACACTTAAGCTTTGATGAAAGAAGACATTATATAGTTAGACTAGGCTTGATAAGAATAGGGTTTTCTGACTTGCACAAAGTTTTCAAATATATTTATCAGACTGGAGTTTGGATATGAATTCAACTTTGCTCCCCTTCAGGCAACAGAACAGACTATTATATAGGAAGCAGCTACCCTATGTTGGAACATTCTTGACGGTGCAAAAATGGGGATGCCATTGTCTGACTTGGCTTTTCTCACATTGAGGACACATAGTTGGAATTGTTTACACATAGGACTAAGATATTTTAAGCAATAAAATTAATGAAGCATAAACATGTGACTATGATGTATTTCCTCCAGTTGAAAGGATTCTTCATGACAAACTGGAGAATCTTCAATAGAATTAAGATGATTCTGTGGAGGCAAGGATAGACAAAAAGAATGGATCAAGGCATGATTTTGGATATAATTCCACTAGCAATAGTCAAATCAAGAGTGGCAATACTCAATGAGTCCTGATTTAACAGTTCGGTACCCTGGGAAGGTTGTGTGAAGAGTCAGTGATTAGGACTGAGCATAAGAAGATACAGTGAGTGGAAAGAGGAGACTCTGGACAGTTGGTCAATATTTAGATTTTGTGAGAAGTGCCACAATAGACCATGCCAGCTTTTAGTGAG